CGCTACGGTTCTGCTACAAAAGGGCCAGACTATATCTCAAGCAGCCAGGAGAACTTGATGGGGTTATTTATGTGGATTTGCTGGCATGCAAAATGAAAGTTACAGTGTCATGGAGACTTACCTCGAAGCCCTTGATATCAGACAACATATAGTATGGTTGGATTCCATGCAAGGGTCCTGAAAGATGCTTTTGTATAGTCTGGACAAAGATTTATGATAGCTGTACTCTTGGTTTCAAATAAGTGCATTTGTTAAGTATACAGCAAGAAACATAAAAGCATTAATACCAAGTGTTGAATATAGAGAAGCAGCAGACAGACCGCAAACCAGAATCAAACTGGGCACTCACAACATACTGCAGAGATGGCTGCGGTCAGAGAATCACCGAAGTGGGACATAGCACCCAGCAGAAACAGGCTGGGAATACGTTGTTGAAGCAGTTAGTCCAATTCAATGTTTTCTCCCCATGGATGATGTTCTGGTTCCCATTGCAGGCATTTTTATATCAAGAGGTAAACAAAAGTAAACTCTGTTGGGCATGGTTCACTCTCTAGCTGTGCCCAAGGGCACAGGTTTTTGTATCCTTAGGGGTGTGTTCTTTTCCATTCTCCCTGTCACAGAATTAGGGGGCCAGTTTGATTCGGGGGACATTTGAGGTAAGGTCAGATTTATGGTGACAGCAAGGAGAAAAAGAGATCCTCCTTGTTCTCTTAACATGCTTAAAGCATATGGTAACTTACCTGTACAATGTCCTGTAAAGGCTACTGCATAAAGCTATGACGGTAAGGTTAAGTTGCGATAGAGACCCCGGTATATTGGAAATGCAAAGGCTTGGATGTCCACTAAAGAAAGCTTTGTAAGACTTTAAGACAATCCTGAAGCCATTTTTGACAATTCTGAATCCTCTCAGCCTCTGTGCCATAGTGCTTCCCCTCCTCCCCTGGGAACCAAGGACCTAACAGCTACACTCGCACGTACTCAGTTCCTGAACAATTACCCATATACGTATGCTTTGGTTCGGTCCCTCGGCTTCCCGAATGCTGGGGGACCCTGTCATGACAGAATTAATAAAATCCTCATGCTTTTGCATCGGCTGTAGTGTGTGAGATGGTCTCTGGGGGCGACTCCTTCTCGGTGTTTGGACGCTAGAGTCCAACAGCTTCAGGCACGGAGTGAAGCTGGCCCAAGAAGGAACTATGTGTGCTTTGGTGGTATAACCAGAATAGAGGATCAGGGGCGCCCGAGGGTCTTGGAGTCAGGAGAGTGCCAACGAGAGCTCCATATGCAGAACATGGAACTACCGGACTTGGCGTTTGCCCTGCTGGGTTTCTATCTTGGTTTGGTCAGTGGTGATATAAGAAGAGCAGCAGGTGGCAATTAAAGTTCCAGGTGTCAGGCCACCAGGAGACAAATCCCTGATAGGTCAGTCTCTGATAGACAAGGCCCCGGGACCGCAGACACCAGAATGTCTGTTGCTTCTCCTGTGCCTCTCCATGTTTGTTGTGGCATCTTTCTCTGGTATCTGGCATGGTGTGAGTGGGTGTGGGGAGATCACACTGCCTGTAATGTAGTGTGTTGTCTCATGAAAATATCCCATTCTACAGGGCATTTTTACCTGTGGATTATTATGAAGACGATATCTTCCCAAGATGTACTATTTGATAATAATATTATTAATAGTAATAAAATTTAAACTCTGTTTAAACAGAGTTTTTGATAATTGAAAATAAACACAAGGAAGTGTCATACATTTAGGGCCTATGAGTTTTATCTAAGAAACTGAATAGATTGCAGTTCAAGTTAATGATTAAGGAAAACTACTGATTCCCAGGAGCCAAACTGGCTGGAATTCTTTTAATCTTAATATTGAAGAATGCATATCTAGGTTTTGGTGAAACAAAACGTTAGAATGACCTCAGGTTAGATTAAAATATTTTGATAATAGCTTTGAGGTTAAAGATCAAAAAACAAAGCAGCCCAATTATTGCTAGCTGATGTAGTTTCCTTGCAAGGATTGATTGGTGAGCAAAGATGATGATTAATTTTTTGTACCCGTTTCTGCCCTCAATCTTCTGACAAAAAAAAAAAACCACTATTGATGAGTACCCACTCATTTGTGTACCCTAAAGATTTAAAGTAGAACTGACTGCCTGTTTTTCATGTATAAAAGTTTAGGTTTGTGATTCCTTATAAGATTATCTATCAATATTACCGAAAACAAAATAAGAAGATTATCTATCAAGATAATTAATAAAGTGAGTGGTCCTTTCTTTGTCCTGCAAAACGCAGCCTGCCAGCAAAAGAAATAGAGAGAAAAATACCCCGCTTCCTCACACTCTACCAATCTATAACAAGTTGCATGTATGAATGGATGTGGGTTCTTGGGTATAATTTGTTTTCTCATGTAATACATAAAATGTTTAATCACGTAAGGGACATGGAAAACACGCTGTTTTTAACTTGCATGCATTGCATTCATTCACTTGAAAAACAGAATGAAACCACATTGTCATTTCTATATGGCCTAAAAGATTTTGTTGGAATATGTAAGCTGTTGAGAAAAAAAAAAAAGAAGAAAGAGAACGAGAAAGAATAAAGATAGAGTTAGAAGGAAAACAAGAGAGACAAGAGGGACATTTCTGGATAAAGATAGGAAAAGAGAATATAGCCAGTCAGTGATGCTACACGCCTTCAATCCCAGCTCTTTGGAGACGTCTACTCTGGTGAAGTTGGAATTCAAATCACAGTTCAGTTTATTACGAAGGGATTTTATCATACATTTAAATATGGGTTAGCATGAAGAGAGATACTATCTGCTTTGCACAGTTTTATGTCAACTTGACACAACTTAGTCATTTGAGTGAAGGGGACAATTAAGATAATGTCTCTGGTAGATCTCTGTGAGCTCGAGGTCAGCCTGGTCTACAAGAACTAGTTCCAGGACAGGCTCCAAAGCCACAGAGAAACCCTGTCTTGAAAAACCTAAACAAACAAAAAACAGACTGAGAAAGTCAGGAAGAGCAATCCAGCAAAAAAGCACCCCAGCCACCATGACCTCTACATCAGCCCCTGCCTCCAGGTTTCTGCCATGGCTTCCCTCAGTGGACAGGGATTCAGGATATGTAACCCAAATAACATTTTCCACTACAAGTTACTTTTGGTCATGGTGCTTCATCACAGCTAGGACAACTAAGGTCCCAAAGGTAGATGTGAGCTCCTTGAGAGAGAGTGGCATTTAGGTGTTTGAACAAGAGTTGTGCTTCTTTTGGTGGCTCCTGAAATTAAATTTCTAATGGTGACTGAGGAACTTTGCCCTTTGGTAGAGGGGATAGAGTGGCTCGGGTGTGCGGTGTGCGTTTGGAAGGGTTACAGTCTGATAAGATAAAACTCTGTAAAAGTTGCAAAAAGGTGTTGTAACTTGTTTTTTTACTAGGCGTTCTTGGAAAATTCTAGCTCTTGGGGGTGTGGTGGCACACACACATTTAATCCCAGGACTGGGGAGATAAAGGCAGGCTGATTCTGTGAATTCAAGGCCAGACTAATCCAAGTAGTTCGAGAACACAGCACCACTTGGAGAGACCTTGTCTCAAAAAAAACCAAAAAAACAAAAAACAACAAACAAACAAACAAAAAAACCCAACAACAATAACAACAACAACAACAAAAAAACCCAAAAAAACCAAGCCGGGCGGTGGTGGCGCAGGCCTTTAATCCCAGCACTTGGGAGGCAGAGGCAGGCAGATCTCTGTGAGTTCGAGACCAGCCTGGTCTACCAGAGCTAGTTCCAGGACAGGCTCCAAAACCACAGAGAAACCCTGTCTCGAAAAACCAAAACAAACAAAGAAAAAACAAAAACAAAAAATCAAAACCAACCAACCAACCAAACAAACACAACAACAACAACAATAACAACAACAACAACAACAACAACAAACCCTATTCGACGGCATGCTGCAATCCAAGCTCAGGAGAATGCTCTAAATTCCATCCCAGCCTGGGCTACACGGTGCGTTCAGGCTTATGAGGCTGGGGAATGAGGCTGGGGAATGAGATCAAGAAGTTCCAGGTGTCCAGTAAGGCTTAGTCAGCACCAGTTTCTGGTGGCTAATAAGAATTCCCCCACCCCTTACAAAGCAGCAAACTAAAGGCCAAGACGGAGGCCCAAAGCTTTTAGTTTTAAAATTACAAATCACCAGGAATTGCAGGGCCTTCAGAGGGCATACTGTCCTGTGCGTGCGCGGGCAGTCTCCATCCAGACACCATGCCATCCCATACCAACAGCAGAACAATGTCCAAGGCAGGAGTACTGACTGAATTTGTGATCTTGAGTTTGTGAAGGTCTAGCACAGACTTCAGAAGGCCTGGGAGTCTCAACTGTGTGTCTCAAGGACCGAATCGAGAGAGCGGACACCTTTAAGGCTGTGACGTGAGGTGGGTCAGCCAGTAAAGTACTGACATAGGTGTTCAATCCCCACTACCCAGGTTGTCAGTAATGGACTTCTGCACGTCGTCCTCTGACCTTCACAAGCGTGCGCTCACGCACACAAGTACATCTTACACAATAAAATGCAATTAAAAGATCTAAAAAAAGGTCATTGTGTTGTTAGAACCACTTGACTTGCCCATAATACAGCATTTTCTGGGGAAAATAAGGTCAGGTTTTTAACAGGTTGTCTTTTTTTTTTCTTCTTCTTCTTCTGTTTTGAATGCATATACAGGCAGAAAGTTCTTGGAGTTCACCTAAAGATGTAAACACTTAACCCCAGGGCAGGGAATTGCAGGCTTTCTAGAGAGCAGCTGTCCCTATCTTCCGGACAAAAAGGCGGGCGTCAAGGCGGGTGATTTGCAATCCAGGCCATGGGCATGGTGGGGCTTGTAGTCCACATTGCGGCAGAGCTTGAGGCCGCCGACGCCTAGGAACTACATTTCCCAGCAGCACGCGCTCAGCAATACGGGCGGATCAGGTTGCGCCACCGAGCTGATTTCCGGAGGAGCTAGGGGCGGTGCGGCCGCAGAGGCTGGAGCGAGGTGGCGGGATGCAGCGCCCCGGGCCCTTCAGCACCCTCTACGGGCGGGTCCTGGCCCCACTGCCCGGGCGGGCCGGGGGCGCGGCCTCGGGCGGGGGCGGGAACAACTGGGGCTTCTCGGGTTCCCACGTGCAACTGCCGGGGCGTGCACAGTCGGAAACCCGCGGCAACAAGGGAGGCTCGAGCGCGGGCGGCCCAGCCCCCTCCACGATGTCCAAGGCCGAGGAGGCTAAGAAACTGGCGAGCCACACGGCGGTGGAGAACCACGTGAAGGTGGGCAGCTTGTGGCGGCGTGATGGCTTCGTGCTGTGCGCCCGGGGCACTGCCAGGGTGCGCCTGACGCCTGAAAGGGCGAGGGCTGCGAGAGAGGGGAGAGGGTGAGCCTTGTATCCGAATTCACGCTGCTCTTCCCAGCCCCTGAAAGGCCTTTCAGACGTCGAATCGGTGGGTGTCAACTCTCCCCCCCAACAGAGCCTTTCTTCCAAAGGTTCCCTGTCCTGCTGGAACTGAGTGTATAGCCTGGCATTGCCCTGTTTGGACCCTGTCGGGTTGTTAATGGCTGCAAATGGTGAGCCCCGAGGCTGCCTCGAGCTCTTCACTTCTCCCTCACCGGGAAGCCACTGGAGAACTGGTTTGCAAAGAGTTTTGAAATTTTACTCCAAACAAGCTCGTCAGCTCCTCAAGCTTGGGAGCTTGAGCGCAGTCTTTACAAAGAAGCTGTCAGGTTAAACCTTGCTGTTGACAGGGCCGGGTGGACTCGACACCTGGAGGTGCTGCCCTTTAGGTGGGGTGCAGACGTTTAACAGTCAGTAAGGTTGTGACCCCACTTGCTGGTTAAGTGGCAGGTGTGGCGCTGAGTGAACTCTTAGTGTGGGTGGGTTTGCTGTCCGGTACCAGGTTGTCTTAATTGTATCATTTCTGCTGCCCCGTGGTGGAGTGTCCTGGTCTTCGTTTTCTACTTCTTAGATAGGGTTAGCAGAATACATTTCTCCGTAAATGAAGACCCCCCCCCCACTTGTTAGTGCTGTGCTGCACAAAGTTACTTTGCAAAGACGATGTTCTTAGAGCTTTTTCTATCTTCCGGCCAAGAATGAGGGCGGCCTGAGCGGGTGGGACCGGGTCTGATAACCTCTGGCTCCGCCTGTTGTTCAGAAGGACAGCCACACCATTCTTGCAGGCGGGGCTCCTACGCGCTTCTGTTCTGGTGTAGCCTTTTGCTCCCCTCGTTATCATAGGATTTTATACTCGAATTAAGAGGGTGTAAGGGTATGAGTATGAATGTAGACTGTGTGATTTGGCTCGTAAAACTGGGACAGTAAAGTGAAATTTCAAAATACCTTCATGACGTGACTTAATAGATTGGTAAATGAAATCTGTACCTTAGGAGAACCCCATTATCTAAGTTAACCTGTTAATGTTTAGTGGGATATGTCTCCTTGGCCTTTGCTTTGTAGTTATGTATTTGACTAAATTAAAATCTGCAAGCCTTTATCTCACGTTAGAGCTCCCAGAGACTGGATTATATATATTCTAGCTGTATTCAAAGAAGATACCAGGAAATCCTTGGGAGATCTCTATTGGGTTTTGGGGCAATCTGTTAAAATAGGGTTGTTTGTCCTGGAGGGTTTGATTCAAAGAACTTTACTTCCAGTTTTTCCTTGGCTTCCTGAGAACACCAGGAGAGAACAATTTCCTCTTCCTATTTGGAGACTCAGGCTGGCTTTGAAATCTCCCCTCCTACTATGTAGCTGGCTAGCAGCTGGCCAGGAACTGCTGTGTGGACCATGCTGGCCTTCAGTGCTGGGATTAAAGGTGTGTACCACTGCACAGCCAACCTGATTCTGCCTCCCAGTGCTGGCATTATAAGTATGTGGCACCACACTCAGCTTCCTTCAGTTGCATATGACTCTCAGACACTTTATGTGACCTATGTTCTAGTCCTCTGTGCGTTTCTCTTGCTTAACTCACTGTGAGCTCCGGGAGGAGAGTTATCGTTATCTACACATTCAGTGTTGGGCCCGGTGAGAGCTGCTTAGGCAATGCTCAGAATGTAGAGTGTGAACATTGATAATGGCGGTTGTGGGTTCTGGAGGCCCCTTTCCTAGGCTCTCTGAGTTTGGGGTTTCCAGTGCCCCCAATCTCCGGACTGTTTCTACTTCAGGGTAGGTGGAGAACTCAGAATTCTCACTTGAATCTTTGTCACCAGGACCAGACCCATCTGATTCTAAAAATGTAGTTATCCCGGATGGATTACAGTATATGTCTATATGCTGACTTATGGCCTATTGCTTCATCCTTTGCTCTTTGTGAGGCCTGGGCTTTGTTTTGAAATTGCCTCAGCCAGAGGAAATTAGTGGCCAGACAGTTTTAGTATTATCAGTAGTAGTAATATTACTATTTTGTTTGTCTGTTTTTTGAGACAGTTTCACTAAATAGCCTAGTTGCTCTGGAATTCACTATGTAGACCAGGCTGGTCTCATACTCACAGACATCTGCTTGCTACTGCCTTTCAAGTGTTGGGATTAAAGGCGTGCGCCACCACACCCAGCCAAGTCTGTGTTTTTAATCTAATAGAAGCCTGTTTTACTAACACGCTGTTCCAGACACATTAAATAGCCCACCGGAGCCAGTCTTGAGATCACCCCATTGGACGCTGCTTAACATTGCCCATTAGAAGACTGTCAGCTGTTGGGCCAGTTTGCAGGTAGCCTTTGGCCACTTCTAGTTGGTTTTGGCTAGGGCGGGACTCCTGGGTCTATCATTTTATTTCTAGGTGGCAGTCCTGTAATTCATCTTCTAGAATAGAAGCTGTCTGATGTACCAGGTTCATCTGTGTGCTGCTTGACTGCTGGGAGCAACACTAGCTGAGTCTGGCAATCAGATTCTCAGTGCCAGGTCAAAAGTGAAGGTCAGGTTTTAAGAAATGGAGATGTTCACCCTTATTTGAATACTTTACATATTTAGCTGTTTTTAAAAAATGATTTCTTTACCTTTATTTTATGTTTATTGGTGTTTTGCCTGCCTCTATGTCTGTGAGGATGTCAGATTCCCTGGGACTAGAGTTTACAGACAACTGTGAGCTGCCATATGGATGCTGGGAATTGAACTCAGGTCCTCTGGAAGAGCAGCCAGTGCTCTTAAGCACTAAGCCATCTCTCCAGTCTCCATATTTAGCTGTTTTAAATGTTTTGTGTCCTTAGGTCCCTTTACTTGTATGAGTCCCTTGCATTTTTGGGTTTGTAGGGACAGCCGATGACTTTATTAGGCTCACGACTCTCGTGAAGGTATCCTGGCAGGTGGAATCTATACGATTGACTCTGGTGGGCCAAGCCTCTTGGTGTATTTAATGAGTTTGGGATTGTATGTTAATTTGGGTTTTTATTAGATTAGAAACAGATATGCTGGGTGTGGTGGCGCACGCCTTTAATGTCAGCACTTGAGAGGCAGAGACAGGCAGATCTCTGTGAGTTTGAAACCAGCCTGGTCTATGTAGTTCCAGGGCAACCATCTCTCAATAAATTAGCAATCAACCCACAGAAACGGAGCCCCTACTTCTAGTGCTCCCCCTCCTCCTGCAGCCGCCTTTTGCAGGCTGTTTCCACCCAGGAAAAGGAATCCTGTTCTGTGTCGTATATCCAGAACCTCCACTCTTCCCACCCTTGGCTGGTGCAAGAAAAGGGTGGCCTGCTTCCTGTAAGCATCAGGAGTCTCTACAGGAATTCAGCAGAGAAAGCTCAGGAGATCCTGACTGTACTGTCCCAGGGGTTGCTGATGATCATGGTAAGCTAGTGAAGGTGGGCTAGAAGTTTGTCTACAGTGATACTGTCACAAGCATCTGGCGTGTGGAGACAACTCAGCTACGAGGTGAGCAGGCAAGAACTCAGCCCAGTTTCTGGCAGAGCCTGGATTGGCCAAGAATGACTGCCTCAACTTCCTGTGTCTTCCTGAAGCTTAAGTGAGGATTTCCTGGTGGCAGTCGTGTTTGCCCCGGCCCTTATTGAGAAACCCCACGGCTTGTACAGTGTTACCATTTGAGGTGCTTTTACCTATGGCTTGTGAACTTCTTTATGCAATAATCTAAAAATACCGTCACAGAAAATGATGGATAAAGTCTTACATAGACAGGAGAGGCCCAGCTAGAAACATTTTTAGTGTGTTAAGTGTATGCTTGCCATTAGGATTTGTTTTGTTTTGCTGAATTCTTTGTACTTGTTGGTCATTTTCTGCCCTTTTGCTGTAGATACAGTCTCGCTTTAGAAGGACCAAATGGGGCACGGGGCTGTGAGGCAGTGCGGCTGCGGGCCTGCTGTGGCTTTTGCACTGTGGGGTGAGACGTTCTAGCTGCAGCCATTGGTTTCTTCCTAGGGGGAAGTTTCACAATGGCCTTTCCCCTGCCAAGTGAACTGCTACTTGTTGCCCCACTCTAAGAAATTTGAGACGCAGCGCTCTTCCAGCAGTCGGACTCCTCAAACTGCTTAAAGTGAGGCTGTGTGTGGCTGATAGGGTTGATAGGGATATTAACTGTTCTTATGCCAATAATTTATTCAGCTCATTAAGTTAATGCTACTTGAACAAAATGAAATGAATTTTTAAAGGCTAGAACTTATTGCATAATAATTATAGGATAATAACCAGTTGCATCTCATGGAACAGTGAATTGAGTTTTACGGATAAGATTTGCTAACAGTTTTCTACAGGTTGAAGTCAGCATCTACGGAGCTGTCAAATTGCACACGTTCTTGTCGGATCGAATAGTACAGGCAGATGTCAGAATTCTGTTGATGGGATCTAGTAATCTTAGGCCTACTTCAGAGTCTTCAGTTTTTTCTTGTAGTGTTGCATGAATCTGTGGCGTGGGCTAGTGGGTCTCTAGGTCATAGGGGTCATTGTGAAACTTGGCTTTATGTTAAGATCTGCAGGTTCTTTCAGTATTGCTTCTTGTTTTTTATTGAAACAGCCCTGGCTGTTCTGGAACTCACTTTGTAGACCAGACTGACCTCAAACTCACAGAGATCTGCCTGCCTCTGCCTCCTGGGATTTAAGGTGAGTGCCACCACCCTGGTGGTATTGCTTCTTGGTGGAAGGCAGTGTAGGTCTTCTAGGTCAGTGGTTCTCAGCCAACCTAATGTGGCGACCCCTTAAGACAGTTCCTCATGTTGTGACCCCCTACCATAGAATTATTTTCATTGCTATTTCATAGCTGTAATTTTGCTACTGTTTTGTACTGTAATGCGAATGTCTGATATGTGATCACCCTTTCGACCCCCTTTGACGCCCCGAAAGGGTCTCCATCTGTTTTAGTCGGTGTTCAGTGCCAGCTGCTGCTGTGGTTGGTTTTGCCGTAGCCTGAAGGAGGGCATTCCTAGGAAGTTGCTTAGGAACCAAGCTTCATGTTTGTTCTGATAGTTAGTGTCCCTGTTTTGTTTTCTTTGTGGTTCCACCATCTGATCATAGGTATCTTCTCTCTCTCAGGATGGCAGACTTAGTGTTTCATTTGTATTTGGTAGGCAGAGCAGATACTAAAGAGACCACTTCTTGCCAGGGGCACACAAGGTGACTGCAGGATAAAAGCCCACCATCTTCTGCCTCCATCTGTTTCTGACCCTTTGCTTGGTGTTAAACACCTGCTCAATTATGCACATGGGCGTGTTAATCATTCACGGAGTGTCGGTCTGAAAACCAGTGCTATCTGCCTCATCCTGCTTCTTGGTTAAAGGTAACGAAGCAGCTTACAGTGTGCTGTAAAGAATCAGCTCTTACAGTGTGCTATTTCAGACCCTCAAGCACCTGGAAGACTCCAGTCGTTTTCCTAGACCTGTGATTCAGGATGATGGAAGTGAGGCAGATCACTCTGTGATGAAGTCACCCTCAAGTAGGAGCTGTCACTCATGGCTGTTTCCTTCATCTTGTAGAATGTTAACCGAGACAGTGTTTAAACAGATGGGAGTTTGACCAACGTTGCTGAATAATGTGTTCATCTTGTCTTCTCCCTCCTCTATGAAGAATCAAAGCTCACGTCAGGGCTTGAAGATGTCTTCTCAGTGTAGTTAGGCTGAGTTAGACCCCCCCCCCCCCCCGCTTTTTCACCATCACGTCTGCATCTGGGGCGAGGCTGGGCCTGACATGTTAGTCCTTGCAGTGGATTCTGGCTGGAGAAATGCTCTGCACTAAAGACTAACCAGTTTTTCATCTGGGCTGTGTAGGGAGTAATGGTGAATGGGGATGGTATTAGTGTCAGAAAGGAAAGAGGAGGGCTTTGTCCACTGGATAACAGCATATAGAGTACAGCTTCGAGGTTCAGTGGCTACACATCTGTATGTTAGGCATAGTACCCAAAATGCACCTGTGCTCGTGAACTGCTGTTCATGATGATTTCAATGCTGTGTAAATCTAGGCCATGGAGTAAAAGGACTGTAATGAGATTTGTTTTTCCTCCCTCTTTTTGACAGAATAACCAAGTGCTGGGAATTGGAAGTGGTTCTACAATTGTCCATGCTGTGCAGCGAATAGGTATGTTTCCTGTGTGTTCATGGGGGTAGGAGGTGGAGGAAGGGGAGGGAATGGAGGGAATGGGTAAAGGTTTGGCACTTGTTTTAGCTCCCGCCCAGCCTTGCAGAGCTGGGAAGAGTGGGCTGTTCACCTGAGGTTAGCTGAGTATTTTTGTTCTTAAGAAAGAGGGATTCTTGGCCCTCTTCAGCTGACTTTGGGGGAGCCCTGCCTATGTTTGCTGCATTTAGCCTAGAGGGGAGGAATTGACTTAGGTGAGGCCCTAGCAGAATTTGATGGTGCACACCCATCAGGGTTCCTGTATGTGATCTCAGGTTTCCTCTGAAGCCTGTGTGTTTTTCAGGCAAACAAATTGAGGCCAGAGTGTCCAGTCTATGACCCTAGCAAGGAGGAGGCTCCTGTAGCTGGTGGCCGGTTTTTATAGGTACTGACTTCATTCAGATTGGACCTTGTCTGTGTTTAGGAAAGACTCAGGTATTATCAGCTCTCATGGCTGCTCAACAGGTTCTTCTGCTCTGCTCTTTGTTGGTCAAAACAAAGCCTGGGAGAGGCTTACCCAAATGCCCATCTTTGGCAGGTGCCAAGGGTCAGGGCCTAGGAGGCAAAACCCAGGTTCCTGTTGTGATCGAGAAGTGGCTGTATTATAAAGGTGATGGCTGATGGGGTCTTAGTGACCAGTACATATCTACCTTAACCCTGTGAATGACACAGACATTGCTGTGGATTTACAGGAGTGACATCTAAACCTCCCAAGAGAGAGACTTGTTTAAAAAGATTTGGTATTTTAAGAACTCAGCTTTTTTTTTTTTTTTTTGGTTTTTCAAGACTCATTAAAATGAAGATTTCCTGAAAGTTTAAAATGAATAAATAAATTTAAAATTAATAGGTACCTCTCCCAACCTTTAATCATCCTCTGGGGCCTAGAGATCCTTATATCTTACTAAATGCAGAGTGTAGTTCTGATGTTTTCCTGAAAAGCGAATGTAGGATTGTAGTTCAGATTGAAAAGTAGGCCGCCAACCACACTTTTAATCTTAGTATTGGGGAAACAGGGACAGGTGGAGGCCAGCCTGGTCTACAGAGTTCCAAGACAGCCAGGCTCACATAGAAACCCTGTCTTGAAAACCTCCACCCAACCCTACTATCCCCCCCCCCCCAAAGGAAACGGAAAGAAAGACTGCCAAGGACTATATTCCAGCCACTCGTTAGCTGTGTCTCAGTTACTCAGTTTCCTCGTGTGTAAGGTAGGGGTGATAGTGAGAACTCTCCTGTGCTGCCAGCACTTAAAGGGCTGATGTATACACAGCACACTTAGCAGCAGTACCATTGAAATGGCTTTTTCCATGGTCAGTGCTTGTGTCTCAGACTCCCTAGTGTCCCTAAAAAGGTGTGAAGTGAGGTCACTAGCTTTTTCATCAAAGATGGGAACACAGAGGCAGCTGTCAGTGGGAGATAGGTCTTTCCCCTTGGGTTGGATTTGAGAAACGCACATGCGACAAGGACAATCAAGTGTGGGGAACGGAACCCTACTAGTGTGACTCTTGTCTCCACAGCTGAGAGAGTGAAGCAAGAGAATCTGGACCTCATCTGCATCCCCACGTCCTTCCAGGTAGGTCATTTCCGGTGTCCCCTTCTGTGTCTTCACTGTTGCTGCCAGGTCTCTGGGTCCCTGAGAAGGTGGACTCGTGGCTTTGTGTTGTCATCGGGGTTGTTTTTCGTGGGCTCAGAAGAGGAGCTGACCAAGCACTGCTCTTGGGTGGTGTAATTTTTTTGAGACAGGGTCTCATTATAACCTTGACTGACCTGAAACTCACTGTAGAGCAGGCTGGCCTCGAAATCAGAGATCTTCCTGCCTCTGCCTCTTGAGTGCTGGAGTTAAAGGTGTGTGCCACATGTCCACCCGGTTTAATTTTATGTGTTCGTAACTTCAAGAATATTTCCTCAGGACTTAGGCACTGTGGAGTATGCAGAGGCTACTGTGTGTCTGTAGCCTTGAGGACTATTACTCTGTCAGTGGATAAAGCCAAAAGAATTTGTGAAGTTAGAGTAATGCCAGTATAGTGTGCTCTTTGATTACACAATAGCCAGAGCTAGTGGGGAAAATGGTGGAGCTGAAGGGGATATGATATGGTTGTCTGTTTTCATTTATTTTTTACAGAATTTTGTTAAGAGTTTGCCATTGCCTACCAATGGCTGTTTCAGTTGGGGTCCCCCAGAGAATTGCTTTACAAATGGATTTATAAAAAAAAGAAGTTGAGTATTCCCTCCATGGCTGTGTGCAGTCAGGAGAGCTGGGAATATTGGTAGCTGCTCAAAGAAATTGGAAACCCTTAGTTTTCTTTGTTCTTCCCCCCACTCTCCTTTTGATCCTCCTGTTCCAGCTCCCGTGCCCCAGTCCGTCCATAACTATTGTATTTTCCCTTCCTACGGTGATCTAATCCACCCCCAGTCTCTTACTCTATATCTAAACTCTGGTTATGTGGCTTATAGTCTGCTTATCAGAGACTTAACAACTAACATCTACATATAAGTGAATATAAGCCATATTTGTCTATTTGGGTCTGGATTATGTTGAGGTATGTCCCTTGTATCCCTAGTCTCTTCAAGACTTTTATCATAAAGGGATGTTGAATTTTGTCAAAGGCCTTTTCTGCATCTAATGATGACCATGTTGTTTTTGTCTTTCATTCTGTTCATGTGATGGATTACACTTATTGATTTGTATACATTATATCTCTGGGATGAAGCCTAGTTGATCAAGGTGGATGATCTTTATGTGTTCTTGGATTTGGTTTGCAAATATTTTATTGAGTTTTTGCATTATGTTCACAAGGGGAATCAATCTGAATTATCTTTCTTTGTTGGGTCATCAGGATAACTGGCCTTGTAGAATGAACTGGACAATGTTCCCTCGGTTTCTATTTTGTAGAATAATTTGAGAAGTATTGATGTTCATTCTCCTTTGAAAGACTGGTAGAATTCTCTTCTAAAATAGTCTAACCTTGGGCTTCTTTTTTTTTTTTTTTTTTTTTTTTTGTTTCTTTATTACTTCTTCTCTTTCGCTAGGGGATATAGGTCTGTTCTTGCTTTTATTTCCCTAGGGATATAGGTCTGTTCCTGCTTCTATTTTACTAGGGGATATAGTTCTGTTTGAATTGCTCTTGAACTTATTAGTGAGGCTTGCCTCTGAGGTTCCTGTTCAAGTTTCTAATTTTTTTGTTTCTAGTTTTCTTTCAGTTTGGGTTTTCTTTATTGATTCTGTTTCTGCCTTCATATCTTGAACTATTTTATTTTATTCCACAGTAATATTCTTTTTAAAAAAGTGCTGCAAGATCCCCGAGGCAGTAGGCAGCAGAAATGCTGTAGATCCCAAATGGTGGTAGCGGGCCATGTGGCGGCAGGCAACGGGCTCTGGGAGCAGCCAGCTGCTGGTCCCTGAGCAGTGGCTGGTCCCAGGCAGGGAGACACATGGCAGGCGGGCAGGAGACAGAGACATGGATAGACACAACATGCAGGGTGAGGTTGAATGTTTATTCAGGGGGAGGAAGGGTGAAGGGGGGACAGAGAGGGAGGGAGGGAGGGAGGGAGGGAGGGAGAGAGAGAGAGAGAGAGAAGGACAAAGAGACAGAGACAGAGAAGGGGGGAACCAGAGAAGTGGGGAGAGAGGCAGAAGAGGAAGATGGAAGAGAGAGTGAGCTCAGGCCGGAAGCTGGAGATCAGCCTGCCTCAGCGGATGGGGGAGGGAGTGGGCGTGGCTTGTCTTTTAAAGAGACAGAAAACCCTAACACACAGTTTGTGTTTTCACAGAGTTTATGAAATGATTTATTCATATCCTCTTTAAGGTCCCTAATCATATTTATAGTAGCCATTTGAAGTCCTTGTCCTGTGCTTCATCCGTACTGCAGTTCTCAGGGCCTACTGTCTAGTGTTGCTGGGCCCTAGGGAGACACGCTGTCCTGGCTGTTATTGTGTTTTTACTCTGGTGCCTAGGTATTTGGGTTTGGGATGATTGTAAATTGTATCTAGGTGTTGATATCCCGTCTTGTCTTTGTTGAGTGAATTTTCTGTTCCTTGGTTCCTGTTTCCCTCTCTGGGTCTTAGAAGTGTGGGTGGCTGTGGGTTGCCTGGTAGGGAGTGCTTCTGAGTCTCTGCCAGATGTGGCCCTGGGGGTCCACACGGAACTTGTTTAAAGGTATTAGGAGTGGACCTGCAGGATGGGGACAGGGTTGTGTAGAAGGCACACAGATACTGGAGAAGCCAGGAAAAGTTAAACTTGCCAGCTTATCTCTTCAAAGGAAGAAGAGGCTTACCTGCTCTTCGGGAAAGCTGGAAGAGAATGTGGTTTACAACTTGCTGATCCTTTGCTATCTGTAAAGCCAGCTTTATTTGCATCCCCCAGAGTTTATGTTTTACTTATCCAGGATGCTCTCCACCTAAATCTTGAGCATTGCTTCTAGGCCATAAAATCCATCCTTATGAGTGGTGTCACTTGTACTTTACAACAGCCTAGGTGATGTCTGTGATGTCGCAGGGCCCTGTCTTGTATGTTATCATAGGGTGAGGCCAGTCCTGACGCCACAGGCATTATGTTTATCTCACAGTTCTCCCTTTCCCTAAATCCTGGGCACTGTCTGAGTCAACAGTCCTATCTTTATGAAAGAAGTCAGATGTACTTTGTAAAGAATTTCAATGTGAACATGTCTTACATTCTGTTATACTCACAGGACTGAGTTAATTGTTAACAGAAAACTTTTTTTTTTTTCTCCAAAATGGTGCTGTGTTTAAATATGGCTAAAATAAATGACCTGGTGTTAGACTCTGAGAGTTTGAACCAGTTGTGCTGAACCGAGTTTCATCCTTACGTCACCCTGGTCATTTCCCTGCTAGCTGTAAAGTAACTTTATAGCCCCCTCCCCGCAGTGAGGAAAAGAGGATGGAGTCTGAGGGGTCCACAGGATGGAGGAAAGCTGTGTCTGCCCCAAGAATCTGCTTCCCTGTGTGGTTTCCAGGCAGAGAGTGACTTGGGTGTCGGTGGGGTGAGGAAGGAAGCTCTAGGAGAGGATCTGCCTAGTTCCCTGGGATCCTGACTTTCCATTTTTAAGTCCTCCTGCCTCAGTCCCCTGGACTCACATTTTGTGCGTTTGGGTCTTATTTTAGCTTCCCACCCCTCCCGTGCTAGGGACCTAACCTCTGGCCTTTGGCATGCCAGGAAAATGCTGCACCACTGTGCTGCATTCCCATCTAGTTCTTGGTCTTTTGAGACAGGGCATCATTTCAGCTCAGGCTAGGTTTGAATTGGCTGTGTATCTCAGCGTCCCAGATGTGTTGTTAGAAGTTTTAGGAGCCCCCGACATTGTTTCTCAAATCAGGGAGGGAAAGCTCTCAGCTCACTCTTGAAACTCTGCCCTGTGCTGCATGGTTCCAGTTACTGAATGAAGCAGCAGTCAGCATTGCTCTTTGTGGGGCCAGCTCTCCCGTCTGTTGGTAGGTGCGTTTGTGATAAGAGAGAGAACCTAGGTCAGTTTTAAAGTTTGAAACATCAGAAGAATCCAGCAGACCCTTGCCGTATTTTCAGAGTAAATGATTCTGGTTGTTTTTTCTGCCCTCCCCAGGCCAGGCAGCTTATTTTGCAGTATGGCTTAACCCTCAGTGACCTGGATCAACACCCAGAGGTAAGAGAGAGAGATTTACTGACAGAAGACTGTGTCTTTTTGTCCTTTTTTTGTGGCTCCTAGTTGTTTATGTGCTCCAGATGTCGTGGCAGGCCCAGAAAACATTAGTTAAATTGCATTCACTTTTCTTCTAGTGCCTTGAGTGTCAATTCTGACCAGAATCACAAGGAAAATGGTACAGGTTAGCTTCCCTTAGATTTAACCTCTAGGGCTCAGTACAGGCATAGTAAAGGGGATGCGGACAGCCCCTGGGCTTGTCCATGCTTTCCCGAGAGTCCCTTCTCATAAGCAAGCCAGCCTGCATAGCTCACACCCAAGCAGAGGAAAGAAGTCATATCTGAGGCAGCTGTGGCCACTTGAAAACGCAAGTTAATATTTGTGGAAAAGGCTCTTAAATTCAAGGGTGGGCCCCAGCAGAGACTGAGGCTGTGGAGAGTGAGCTGTTTAATCCCAGGGATGGATGTGGAAAGGGTATGTCATTTGCTTAGGTGGCAGACACAGAATTGTAGTTTGTACTCTTCAGGCTCTGGAGCAGTGTTGTAGCAAGAGGCTAGGTTTGTGCTTAGCTGCAGAGGCTCAATCGCAGGGCCAAGAGAGGCTCTTTGGAGGGGAAGATAATAGCCATGGGCATGCAGCACATGTGGGTGGGTGTTGCCCAGACTTTCTGGAGTGATTTGGGCATAGAGGGACAGGCATGTGGTGTGGGGATTTGACAGGGTCCAGCAGCTGTATTTCTGCATATGGTCATTTGGAGGGCTTCAAACTACAGTGTCTTAAACGTTTTGTCCTTACTTGTCACTCCCAGTCAGTATTTTAACTTCTTTGGGAATGCATGCTAACAGTTGTACTTTGTTCATGGAGAGCAAAGGAAACAATGTAGTGGGTAAGAGCTGGGCAGTTTATGTCTCTGGCTCTCAGCTCCTTCCTCTTGTGACGCCTGCAAAACACCTTTAATCTCTTGGGTGGACATATGGGCCTAGCTAATAGAGCTGCTGAAAACCTGAAGAGCTGTTACTGCTTGATCAGGTTTGGCACAGCTCAGCTCAGGAGGCTCCTTCCTCCCTCACAGATTGACCTTGCCATCGATGGTGCTGATGAAGTGGATGCTGAGCTCAATCTCATCAAGGGTGGTGGGTGAGTGTTGTAGGACTTGGTTGCTAAAGAGACTGTCAGGTAATCAATCCTTAGCAAGCAAATGGAGTACAGAGTAAACGGTTGTCCAGATACACGTGAGTTTGTCTTCCTGTCAGCACACTGATACCATCTGCCTCCGAGCCAGCCTGGCATTTCTGATCATTAGTGTTTATCTGCAGACAGGTAATCTGGGCTTTCCAGTGAGATGGTTTATCTTGCTGGGTTCTGTGTACACACACAGCACATTCTTGGGTTAGACTCTTAGGCCTGTGGCTTTGTGTTAAAACTGTGACGTCTGTGATCAGTTGGGGGTACTCTTCCTTTATTTGGTAACATTAGAATGGCGTGGTGTTCATGAGTTATTATGTCTTATGCAATCCTGGTTGCAGGTGTGAAGTAGTTGAGCTAGGGAGCAGTAGGGATAGGCCAGACGACTGACTGTCTGGGCCTTGTGCTGCCACATAACCCACAGGGCAGGTGTTCCAAACTGGGTGTCTTCTCTGGACATGTTCAGAGATGTCTCCCTAACACAGTGCTTCTCAGATGTCTCTCAGAGGGGATGTGCTTGGCCTGAATGGAACCATTGTCTACTTGTAGGTTTCTACCAGACACATGCTAATGTTTCTGTATTCCATTTACTAGAAAGTAGCACTGTAGGATTGAGGGTGGTTCTTTAAAAATGGAGTTTTTCTCTTTAAGTGTCAGGATTGAGTACATTTGGATTTCTGTGTCTGACCCTAGTGCCCAAATTAAGATGATCTCACTCTAACCTCCACTTTCTTCCTTCCCCCGTCAGAGGCTGCCTGACCCAGGAGAAGATTGTGGCTGGTTATGCCAGCCGCTTCATTGTGATCGCTGATTTCAGGTACTGTTCCAGCCTTCTGCTCTCCAGCTGAGAAGGCTTGTGGGTTCCTGGGTCTCGTCCATGCACAGGGAAGGAAGCTTGTGGAGGAACATAGGAAGGACTGCCTGCTCTCCAGGATTCCAGGCAGTGACTCCTGCTAATTATCACAGCACTCTTGCATGGAACTGAGACTTGATGTTTGGGGACAAGGAGGAAACAGTGTCACTCTGTAGGCAGAGCTCATCTGCATGTGTCACTCACTAGGTTCTCAGAGGGAACCTCAGGAAGCAGGACAGGCCTGTCATGGGCAGTGACTCATCACATCCTGCTTCATCTGGGCTCAGGCTTTGCCACACGTGACTTGCTGTGCTCAGTCTTGGCCTGAGAGGAGCCACTTGTGCTGAGCACGTTAGAAGAGATACCTGCATGTGTACTCAAGAAATACCTAACTGCAAGGAAAACCTAGGTCAGTCAAGGAGCCAGCAGAGCAGATTTTAACATTTTTGCCACATTCGTTATTCAAGTTTCTCTTTAGTGAAAAGCAGCCCATACTTCTGAAGCCCCCTGTACTGTTCCTGGTCATGTCTCTCCAGCTGTCTAGAGAGCCTCTTGCCTGAATTTGGTTATACGTTGAACTTACTTAATTTGATTGATGTTCTTTCCAGGAAAGATTCAAAGAACCTTGGAGATCGGTGGCACAAGGGGATCCCTATTGAGGTCATCCCAATGGCCTATGTCCCAGTGAGCCGAGCTGTGACTCAGAAGTTTGGGGGCGAGGTGGAACTTCGAATGGCTGTCAATAAGGCAGTAAGTGGCCTGGGAGGTTTCCGAGCATGCTGGCTCAGTTTGCTGCTCCTTGTCCTTTCTGTGGTAGTTAGGCCTCTGAAACCTTTGGTGGGTGTGTGTATGGGTGTATAAGAGGTAGTTTACTTTAGAGCCAAATATGAGTAACTATGGTGTGGGAATACAGATTTAGGTTATCCCAAATTCTGCAGTCCAGTGAGATAACGGTTTTTAAGTTTGTACAGAGACAAAACAAAGAAGGCCACAAATGACACTTTTCAAATACATTGGAAACACTAGGTAGGCAGGTCACAGAAAAATGTGCAGTCTTACCCTCGCCCTGGGCTTTAGTGCTATCTTTGAGCATTCTTTTTTTTTTTTTTTTTGTTTTGTTTTGTTTTATTTTATTTTTTGAGACAGGGTTTCTCTGTGTAGCCCTGGCTGTCCTGGAACTTATTCTGTAGACCAGGCTGGACTCAAAATTCTCACAGAGATCCTCTTCCCTCTGCCTCCTGAGTGCTGGGATTAAAGACATGGGCCACTACCAGCCCGGCTCTGGTAGCATTCTTATTTTAGCCTTTTGGTTGGTGGGAGCTATGGGTGTGTCTACATTTTCAAAGGGTTTACCTTTCAAAAGGTACAGATGGCCCAAGATAATCTGCCTCTGGATGATTGACAGTCTAGACTCCACAGCCATTGAAGTTCCATTTGGTTAATGCTCCTGCAGAAGGCTGGGGGAAGATGCTGATCTTTCCAGGAGCTTACGCACAAGGCAGCAGCCCCCCCCCCCCATTCTGTTGCACTGTTAGGATTTGGGCCCAGGGCTTTCTGAAATACTAGGCAAGAACTCTACCACTGAGCTGCACCCCCTGCATTTTCCTCCTAGGCTAAATACAGCCGGAAGTAGACTTTCTTGTGGGGAGGGGTACACATGGCATCCCAGTGGAGATGTTTCTCTTCAGCTTCTAGTTGTGGGTTGCAAAGAATTTTTTCTTTTGCATTTAAATAAGTAACCAGAAGTAATGATCCCAAACTGAAGTGTATGTAGCTATGAGAAGACTTTGGGAGATAGAGAAAAGTAAATGATTATTACCTGCCCTGGCGTGCTGTCTTGACTTCTTCAAAAGGAGCTCCAGGAGCTGGTTATAGATGTCTTCCCAGGGGCTTCAGCCCCCTCCCTTCGAATTTCTGTTTGTTTGAAAAGGGTCATATCTATGTCCAGGCTTCTTTGAGCTGGCTATGAAGTTAGGTTTGACTTTGAACTTCTGATCCTCCTGACTCTACTTAACCAGTTGCTGGGATTGTGGACATAAGTCACCACACCTGGGTTTTAACTGGGCTCCACTCCAGGCTGCAGAGGAGTCTTAACTTTTTTGCCTGTGCGTATGCTTGTCAACATTTATGTTGCTAAACAATCCTATTTTCTAGTGTACAGTGGTGTTGAGAAATTCTGGATTCATTGGCCTCCTCACCTATTTGACTATCCCAGCTTTTTTTCTTTTCTCCCTCCCTCCCTCCCTTCCTTCCTTCCTTTTCTTCCTTGAGATAGGATTTCTCTGGAACCCTGGTTGTCCTGGAACTCGCTCTGTAGACCAGGCTGGCCTTGATCCATCTACCTCTGCCTCCCAAGTGCTGGGATTAAAGGCATGTGCCTCCACTGCTTGGCTGCCCCTTTTAATGAGACACTGATGTGTGAAGTTGGTGCAGCCTTATTTCGTGTTATTGGTGGTGCTTATGCTAAACTTTGAGATGTAGTGATGTTGGCGTCATTCTGTTGGAGGTTTTCACTCTGTAAGTTGAAAACTTCACTCTGTTGAACCCTTCCTGTTTGCATCTCCGTCTCCCTTTCTGCCACTGAAGTAAGGCTCAGGGAAGCCAATGGCTCCTCTTAATTATCTACCTGTGTGGCATTAAGACTGAAGTCTCCAGGACTCCAAAGCGCACGCTCACTGCTGCTTTACATCACCACCCTCTAGGAATACAAGGCAGGATCAGAGTCCCTCAGTTAGGACACCTGTCTGGTCTTCCTCTGTATTTGCCTACCTGTATTTCCATCCTTGGTTACTGTGAAAAATTATCTTCTAGGGGCCTGTGGTGACAGATAATGGGAATTTTATCCTGGACTGGAAGTTTGACCGGGTACACAAATGGAGTGAAGTGAACACAGCTATCAAAATGACTCCAGGTAACCTGAGTGGCATTCACTGGACATAGTCACCTGTGCTTTCATAGCTACCCGCTCTTCTGGCCACAGAAGGCATGGTGGACACGTGCTTTTTAGGACTTCCTTTCAGAGAGCTTACCTTATACCATGTCTGGGGTTTTCCACTTGATCACCTCCTTCCCCTTGGCTTTTGTAATAGTGCTGATGTGTATGTAGTTTGTAGTCTGTTTGAACTGGGATAGCCATGGAGCTGATGGCAAGTCAGAGGGTTCTTGCTTTGAAATAAGGTCAGCATCAGAGATCTGCCCGCCCCCGCTTTCAGGAGTTTGACCACAGTGTCTCTAACTTTTTTTTAGGGAGAAGTGACTCAGTTCACCCACATTCACTGGTTACAAATCATAGGCAAGGTGCTCTGCCTGTATAATGCATGGAATTGGTCCTAGATTAGAGCTGACGTAAACCTGGGGAAGGCTGTGTGAAGCTGTGCCTCAAATACTGAAAGTGCAGATTCTGATGGAGAAACAGCTAAAGTTTAGTTCATAGAGATTTCTTCTTTAAAAGGTGTGGGGCTGTTTCATAGAAGTGGTGTTGATCTGGGTGTTAGCGTCACATTATCTAGACACTGTTTAGTGTTCTAAGCTAAGTTGTTTGCCTAATAACTATGGCATCAAGGTGGGAGTCCTAGGCTGTCTGCCTCTTGACCTTAAACTTTTAAGATTTATGTTATTTTTTGTGTGTCTGTATGTGAGTATGCACAATCTGATGCAGGTGCCCATAGAAGCCAGAAGAGGGCGTTTGCTGTCCTGGAGCTGGAGTTAGAGGTAGTTGTGAGCCTTCTGACATGATGTGGGTGCTGGGAATTGAACTTGGGTCTTCTACAAGAGCAGTATGCTCTCTTGAGCACTGAGCCATCTCTCAAGCCCTTAGACTCCGAACTTGAATGCTCCCTCAGCCAAGTGCCCTGCTAAAGTGAAGCCGTTTGATGTAAGCACAGACTTCATGTGGAGTCGAGGACCTGAGTGAAGATTGGGTGAGCTGGAGAGAGATAAATTGGAGTACAGGCTTAAGAAATCTGGAAGGGGGGCTGGAGAGATGGCTCAGTGGTTAAAAGCTTAGCCTGCTCTTCCAAAGGTCCTGAGTTCAATTCCCAGCAACCACATGGTGGCTCACAACCATCTGTAATAAGGTCTGGTGCCCTCTTCTGGTCTGCAGGCATACACACAGATAGACCATTGTATACATAAATAAATAAATATTAAAAAAAAAGAAATCTGGAAGGTCAGAGCTTGTGGGAGGGGATTTAGGGAAGAGGTGATTTGAAAGGTGTCATTCTTGCAGTGCTGAGGAGCAGTCTAAATCATGTCTGGGTAGTGAGGTAGAGAACATCAGAGTTTGTCAGAGTGTAGTAACTGAGTGGCTCCTGGATAAAGATTCTAACCCACACATGGTTTAGCAGTGAGCTTGGAGCGTCTAGGTAACAACTGTGTGCCTCAGTTTCTCCTCTGTAAAAGGGTCAATATTAGTACCTATCCCATAGGGTTATTGTGAAGATTAAATGAGTTAGATCACCACCTAAAATAATGCTGGATGACTAAGTCCCTAGGGAGAAAGGATACTCTATTGTCATCATTAATTACCTGCTACGTTAGTGCCCATGTAGGGACACGGCCAGCCTGGGCTACCTGAGTCCTTGTCACAATTTCCACATTCTCACTGACATTCTCCTTTTTCCTTTTCCTTCCCCTCCCCCACCTGAGACAGCATTTTTCTCTGTAGCCCTGGCTGTCCTGACAGTCACTCTGTAGATCAGACTGACCTCAAACTCAGAGATCCTCCTGCCTCCTGAGTGCTGGGATTAAAGGCGTGTGCTATGCCACCATTGTCACTCTTTTCTTTTCTTTTCTTTTCTTTTCTTTTCTTTTCTTTTCTTTTCTTTTCTTTTCTTTTCTTT